CATGGAATAGTATAAAGTAGCCTTGCATATATGTAAATGGCATCCCAAAGGGAAGGAAAGAGAGAACCTGGCAGAGAAAAATTTGGAGGAATAATGGCTGGAAATTCCCTAAATTAGTTGAAAAACATAAATTTGGGGATCTAAGATGCTTGGCAAAGCCCAAAGGGAATAAATAGAAAGAAAATCACACCTAAGCATATCTCATTATGCAGGGATAAGATTTAACTTGAAGAAAGCATAACAGTAAAGAAAAATTGTGTATGCTTACTGACACAGTAGAACACATATGAAACAAAAACGTGTGAGGAAAATCTACAAAGTTGGGTTTTAAACACCACAATCTCAGTCTTTGGTAGAACAACTAGACAAAAAACCCAAATGGATACAGGAGACAAACAGCACTACTGTCATGGACTGAACTGTGTACTCTCTCAGTTTGTATGTTGAGGCCCTAACCCCCAATACCTCAAAATGTGACTATATTTGGGGCTAGGGTCTTTAAAAAGATAATGAAGTTAAAATGAGGCAGTTAGGGAGGGCCCTAATTCTGGTGTCCTTATAAAAAGAGATTACTGGGGGTGTCTGGGTGGCTTAATCGGTTGAGCGTCCGACATCGGCTCAGGTCATGATCTCATGGTTCGTGGGCTTGAGCCCTGCATCAGGCCCTGTGCTGACAGCTCAGAGCCTGGAGCCTGCTTCGGATTCTGTGTCTCCTCTCTGCCCCTTCCCCACTTGTGCTCTGTCTCTCTCTTGCTCGCAAAAATAATAAACAGTAAACAAATAGAAATCGGCAGAGTGATGAATTGTTTTGTCAAAATTGTAAAATCCTGCTTATAAAACAGACTGTTAAGAAAAACAAACAGGCAAGCCAAGTAAGTGTTGTAAGAAAACACAAATTATAGATCTGATTAAGGAAGTTATATACAGAATATAAAACTCAATAATAAAAAGACAACCCAATTTAAAAAATGGCAACAGGCTTGAACAGACACTTCACAAAGAAAGATATGCAAATAGCAAATATACACATTAAAAAACGTTTGGGTATCTGGGTGGCTCAGTCGATTGAGTGTCTGACTTTGGCTCAGGTCATGATCTCAGACTTTGTGGGTTCAAGCCCCACTTGGGCTCTGTACTGACAGCTCAGGGCCAGGAGCTACTTCTGATCGTATCTCTCTCTCTCTGCCCCTACCCCACCTGCACTCTGTCTCTCAAAAATAAATAATAGGAGTGCCTGGGTGGCTCAGTCGGTCAAGCGTCCAACTTCGGCTCAGGTCATGATCTCACAGTTCGTGAGTTCGAGCCCCGCGTCGGGCTCTGTGCTGACAGCTCAGAGCCTGGAGCCTGCTTCAGATTCTGTGTCTCCCTCTCTCTCTGACCCTCCCCTGCTCATGCTGTCTCTCTCTCTCAGAAATAAATAAAACCTTTTTTAAAATTTTTTTTAAAAAAGAAAATAAATAATAAAAAAGTTTAAAATTTTTTTAAACGTTTAACATCATTACTCATCAGGGAAATGCAAATAAAATCAGGAGATACCTCTATACATAACAGAATGGGTAAAATGAAAAATACTGACAGTGCTAAATGAACAACTGGAAATCTCAAACATTGCTCATGGAAATGCAAAATGGTACAACCACTCTGAAGGAAAGAAGCCAGGCCCATACACCTCGTACAGCACGATTCCATATATATGTGGCTCTGGAAAGGGCAAAACTGGAGAAACCATTTGTTGAATTGGTTGTCTCTGGGGGTGGCAGCCATGGAAAGACTGGGGAGAGACCACAGGGAACCTTCTGGGTGTGATGGAAATGTTTTCTATCTCAACACAGATGTGAGTTGTTGACGTATATTCGTTTTCCAGAACTCACCGAATTGTAGACTGAAGAGTTGTGCTTTTCACTGTATGTAAAATTTACCTGATCTGGAAACAAAATATATGCTGTTTGTATTAAAAAGGGCCATTTTCAAAACAAAAACAAACACAAAACAACTCAAGCCTATTGCCTCTATCTAAAGAAGTGTATCTGCTAATGATCGGAATTTACACTTTGGTCTGAAGGGATGCTTCATGAGTGCGATTGGTCAGTGAGGTATGGAGGAGCTCTGCGGGACAGGGCCCTGAGCGCGCCGCCGGCCTGCCTGCGGGTGATCTGGAACCGAGTCTCCTTCCTGGGCCCACCTCCTGGGAAGTGAGGCTGGGACGTGGCTTTCAGAAGTTTATAGACTTTCCTAAGTGTCATCAAATTTGTATAAGTAAATCTATGGATTGAAGTTAGGAGGTTGGTTGAGGTTTAGGAGAAGATTTTCACATCTTCGCGTAGCCTTTTAAAAATAAAGGCATTGTCCTGTCTCTGAAAAAAAAATAAATAAATAAAGGCATTGTCAGGGCGCCTGGGTGGCTTAGTCGGTTAAGCCTCTGACTTCGGCTCAGGTAATGATCTCACGTCTGTGGGTTCAAGCTTCGTGTCAGGCTCAGAGCCTGGAACCTGCTTCAAATTCTGTATTTCCCTGTCTCTCTGTCCCTCCCCCTCTCATGCTCTGTCTTTCTCTGTCTCAAAAATAAATAAAACATTAAAACAATTTTTTAAAATAAAATAAAGGAATTGTCAAGGTGCCTGGGTGGCTCAGTTGGTTAAGCGTCCGACTTTGGCTCAGGTTCATGAGTTCAAGCCCTGCATCAGGCTCTGCGCTGACAGCTCAGAGCCTAGAGCCTGCTTTGATTCTGTGTCTGTCTCTCTCTCTGTGCCCCTCCTCTGCTCTCTCTCTCTCTCTCTCTCTCTCACACACACACACACACACACACACATTCTCTCTCTCTCTCAAAAATACACATTAAAAAATTTTTTTAAAGGAATGTAGAGAAATTTACCCTTTTCTTTTCTTTCTTTCCTTCTGTGTTATTTCTTTCTGTTAGAGTTCTCTACAGAAACACAGCCAATAGGAAGATCTATCCATCAATTTATCTATCTATCTATCTATCTATCTATCTATCTATCTATCTATCTATCTAATCTATTCATCTCTCCCAATAGCTGGCTGTGACATCCCCACAGGTATCCTGTTAGAATCTAACTGCCTCTAACCTTTCCTTCTTTCCTTCCTTTTTCTCCTTCCTTCTTCCTTTCCTTCCTTCCTTCATACATTTTCAAATTGATCATAATGTAATCCCATTAGTTTGGAATTTTCACTTCTACCTGACAAAACATTGATTATTAAAATGTATTTCTTTTTAATAGTCTGGTAATAGTCATGAGTTTAAAATACCCATGAAAGTGATGTGGTTTGGGGCGCCTGGGTGGCTCAGTTGGTTAAGCGTCCAACTTCGGCTCAGGTCATGATCTCACGGTTTGTGGGTTTGAGCCCCAAGTCCGGCTCTGTGCTGACAGATAGCTCAGAGCCTGGAGCCTGTTTCGGATTCTGTATCTCCCTGTCTCTCTGATCCTCCCCTGCTCTCGCTCTCTCTCTCTCTCGCTCTCTCTCTCAGAAATAAATTAAACATTTAAAAAAAGTTTTAAAAAAAAGAAAGTGATGTGGTTTGAAGTGCTGGGGATCAGAGCTGATGGCCAAGAAAGAATTGAGACGAAACCACCTTTGGTGCGAAAAGGTGGTTTTATTAAAGCTCTGGGGACAGGACTGGTGGGCAGAAAGGGCTGTGCTGGGGTCGTGAGGAATGACTGGTGACACAAGATTTTCTAGCCAACGGAGCAGGGGCGATGTTAGGGCTACAGGAAATTGAGTCTATAGGTCTCTGGAGATTGCCTTTTTTCTTGTGAATCATTAAGACAGTTACAGACTGATGGAGACTCTATCCTGCATGACTGTGACCTCTATCACTTAACCATTTGTTTTTCCCATTCCTTTGTTCTTGGCCAGTGTGTGTGTGTGTGTGGGGGGGGTGTGCCTGAGGAATGTCACACAGGCCCCACCCCAGTGAGGAAGGGGGCACCTGTGGGGTGTTAGCTTGTGTTTTGCCCCCAGCTTGCCTTTTACTCCCTTATCAAAAATACCCTGGTAGGAAAACTGATTAAAATAATTTTTCCATGGACACCCGGGTGGCTCAGTTTGTTAAGCTGTGCTGACAGCGGGGAGCCTGCTTGGGATTCTCACCCTCTCCTTCTCTCTGCCTCTCCCCTGCTCTTTCTCATTCTCTTTCACAAAATAATGCAACATAATAAAATGTTTTCCTCCTTTGGCATGTGTCAGAACTAATATTCCCACCAAGGTCATCTCTCCCAGATAATGGCAACATAGTTATGTTAACAACAACCTCAGAGACATTGTCTGTTGGCATTGCTTTCCTTCTCGTTTTAATTTATAACCCACAGCTTGGAGGAGAAGTTTTTATTTCAGCAGTGTTTTCTTTTTTAAATGTTTATTTATTTTGAAAGAGAGAAGGAAAGAGTGTAGGCAAGTGGGAGAGTAGCAGAGGGAGAGAGAAAATCCCAAAGGGGCTCCACGCTCAGGTAGGGGCCAGGCATGGGGCTTGATCCCACGACCCTGGTACCATCACTTGAGCCAAAATCAAGTGTCTGATGCTCAACTGACTGAGCCATCCAGGCACCCCAGCACTGTTTTCTCTTATAGGAAATGTGCACCCTTGTTAGCTGTCATTGTGACCAGAGATTGAGTGAAGGGGAGAAGGCAAGAGGAAGAAACATAAGAAGGGAGAGCAAACATTTATTGATCAATGATCTGAGCGTTTTGTGTGATTCTCACAACACTCCATCTCAGCTGCTATGAGCCCCATTTCCCAGGCAGAAGGCCTCCCTGCCCTGCTCAGTACCCCTGGGACTCGCAAACTGGGGTGTACTAGTGCCCTACGGCTGGCATAACCAATTGCCACAGACTCGGTGGCTTCAGACGACACAGATTTATTATCTTATGGTCCTGGGAGTCCAAAAATGAGTCTCAGAGTGCTTAAAATCAAGGTGTTGCCAGGGCTGGTTCCTTCTGGTGACCCTGGATGAGGAGGAGGGGGTGGGATTTGTTTTCTTGCTTTTTCCAGCTTCTGGAAGCTTCCCCTGTGCTTTGGCTTGTGGCCCCTCCTGCATCATATTGTCTTTTACCACTTGATTCTGTTGTCGCATCACCTTCTTCTGTAGTCAAACATCTCTTTTCCTCTTTCTTATGAAGATGTTTAGGACTAAACTGGGCCCACCCAGATAGTGCAGGATCATCTCCCATCTCAAAATCCTTAATTCAGTCACATGTGCAAAATCCCTTTTGCCCTACGAAGTAACATTCACAGGGTTCTGGGGTTAGAATATGGATATTTTGGGGGCTGTTATTCAGCCTCCCACCTGTGAGCAAACAGTGGGGATACCCTTAAAGTAGACACAGCACTTTTCTCTAGGGTGTCCCTGTTCCTCAAAGATTTTTTTTAAATATTTTTTTAACATTTATTTATTTTGAAGGACAGAGCATGAGTGAAGGAGAGACAGAGAGGGAGATGCAGAATCCGAAGCAGGCTCCAGGCTCCATGCCTTCAGCACAGAGCCCGACATGGGGCTCGAACCCACGAACAGCGAGATCATGACCTGAGCCGAAGTCAGACACTTAACCGACTGAGCCACCCAGGTGCCCCTCGAAGATTTTTAAGAGTTACCTGTAAGAATAAGGATTTAACAGAGTGATTTTTTTTTTTATAAATAGTTTATTGTCAAATTAGTTTCCACATAACACTCAGTGCTCATCCCCAAAGTGCCCTCCTCCATGCCCATCCCCCCTCCCCCCCACATCCATCAGTCCTCAGTTTTTGTCAGCATTCAAGAGTCTCTCATGGTTTGCCTCTCTCCCTTTCCCCCACCATTTCTGCCCTTCTTCTCCCCCTTGTTCCTCCATCAAGTTCCTCCTAATCCTCCTATACGTGCAAACATATGATATTTGTCCTTCTCTGCCTGACTTATTTCACTAAGCATAACACCCTCAAGGTCCATCCATGTTGCTACACATGGCCAGATTTCATTGTTTCTCATTGCCATGTAGTATTCCATGGTATAGATAAACCACATCTTCTTGATCCATTCATCTGTTGATGGACACTTAGGCTCTTTCCATGTTTTAGCTATTGTGGAGAGTGCTGCTATGAACATTGGGGTACATGTGCTCCTATGCCTCAGCATTTCTGTATCCCTTGGGTAAATTCCTAGCAGTGCTATTGCTGGGTCATAGGGGAGTTCTATTGTTAGTTTCCTGAGGAACCTCCACACTGTTTTCCAGAGGGGCTGTACCAGTTTACATTCCCACTAACAGTGTAGGAGGGTGCCCGTTTCTCCACATCCTCGCCAGCATAACAGAGTGATTTTTAATAGTTACATTTTAATATGAAGCCAGCATGGGGATATAACAGAGTAAATGCAAACTTTTCATGACTTAAAATTTTTTTTTCTTATCATAGGTAATTTCAAGCATTTCCAAAAACAGGAAAAACAGCATAAAAGAACTCTCATGCAACCATCACTCAACTTCAACAGAGATCAAGTTGTGGCTAGTCAGTTGCATCTGTACCCCGTCCACTCCCCCCACCCCATTCTGGACTACTGTGAAGCAAATTCTAAATATTTCACTTCATCTGTAAATGTTTTGGTATGCAAATATTTTGGAGGATTCTTTTTCTTTTTATTTAAGTTTATTTATTTTGAGAGAGAGAGAGGGCATGTGCGCAAGCCAGGGAGGGGCAAAGGGAGAGAGAGAATCCCAAGCAGGCTTTATGCTATCAGTGCAGAGCCCAACACGGGGCTTGATCCCACCAACCACTAGATCAAGACCTGAGCCGAAATCAAGAGTGGGATGCTTAACCAACTGAGCCACCCAGGCGCCCCTGGAGGATTTTTTTAAAATAAATCTAAAATACTCTTATCCCATCTATAAGTTGATAATAATTATCTAATTACATCAAAAATCCAATCAATGTTCAAAATATCCCCATTTGTCTCATAATTTCTTTTATAGTTAATATGCTCAAATCAGGAACACGTAGATAAGGTGCCTATATTGCTGTGGGTTGCTAGGATTCTGAAGTCTAGTTAAATTTATGGATTTTCTCTTCCTCCTCCTCCTCCTTCTTCTTCTCTCTCTTTCTATCTCTCTCTCTCATTCTTTTGAACTTGCAATTTAGTTTGAGGAAAAGGGTTATTTGTCCTGAAGAGCCTGCCAGCTGGGTGCCATGATAGAGTTAGTCATGTTCCCCATGCCCTGTATTTGATGGAAAGTAAAATTAGATCTAGAGGCTGGATCAGACTTTGCTTTGAGATTTTGGCCAGAGTACCTTACAGGTGGTGTGGTGTCCTTCTCTCCAGAGGCACGTAATGTCTGGTCATCTCTTTTTTGTGTGTGATATTACCAGCTGGTGATTAATCCTTGCTGCAATTCTTTAATGCATTAAGCATTGTAAAAATGGAGATCCCCTTCGACTATCTCCTTCTTCATTCATTAACTCCTATTCTTTAAAAAATAAACAAAAAAGAGAAATCTTCCTTCATGACTATTCTGTTACCTAAGGAGCAGTTCATATCAAGGTGGGGTAGATGTTTGATTTACTTATTTAATTGCCTATTTTCAAAATATTGATTGGGTTTTCAAGCTCCAGCCCAGTGAACAGTGAGAGGAGTTTTTAAAGTCATTATGAACTCATGCACTTAAATCCATTTGATGTGTTCCAATCATTACAGCCATTACTATTACTGATGCACAAATTAGCTATGTGGATAGTGAGAGCCTCTTCATGTTGGTTACATTAGTAGTTGGCTTTGTCTTGGGTTTTATAGCTTCCTTCCTTTCAGAATGACAGGATGATTCAGGCTCATTTTGTCTGTTTCTTACCCCAGACCATGGATTCAGCTATTTCTCCAAGGGCTCTTGGTTTCATTTCTAGAAAATGGTGTTTAGCTATGATAATCTGGGTGCTATAGGTGCTTACTGCTATCGGATTGGTTATGTGTTCAGGTCTATTCAACATAGGGAGCTAGGATATGTTTCTTTTTTAAGATAAAAAAAATCATGAGTTCATACAAATACAATTCAAAATTACAACTGTAGAGTTTTACTTAACCCTATTGCTCTTAGCTGTATCTCTACTCCAAAACTTAAAATCCTATTGCATTGCAAACAATACTAACATAATTATTCAAAATACAGTATACACACAAATAGTCTTGCAATAACAATTTCAATATCAATGATAGGAGCAGTATGATTACTGGAAACAATCTGAGACTTTTTATGAAGGGGACAATTTTTTTGTTGTTATTTAAGTATCTCCTATAAGATATATATTATCCTGTAAGATATGTATATAGTCAAATTTATGTCTGAAAGTCACTTGAAACAGTTCTCCCTTTGAAGTTTGCCACCCACTAAGTAATACTTCAATATTTATTTAGAGATTGCTTTTAAAAAATTAGTTTTACAATTATGTGAAATATTCATGATTCCAAAGTCAAAGACACAAAATAAGGTACATTTGTAGAACTCTAGCTCTGTTCCTACTCTTCCTTCCTGTGACTTTCAACCAGCTAAGTACTTTGTAAAGGTTTTCAGTTTATCCTTCAATGTTTAAAAATATAAGTATTCAGTCTTTCTCTTCTCCCATTTTTTAATGTAAAATATCAAACTTCATTTTTTAAAATGTTGCCTTTTTTACTTACCCAATTATTCTGAAGATCTCTCATGGCACGGAGGAAGATTTTTTCTTTTTCACAGATTCATAAGGCTGCCATTGTAGGGCTACAGTACAACTCATTCATCCATTTCCCAGTTGGTGGATGTTTGGGTTGTTTTCAGTCTTTGCTACTGCAAATAATGCTACAATGCCCGTGGTCATGTTTTTATCATCTTCTCAGAATCGATTCCTGAAAGCAAGAATTCTGTCAAAGGCTACATACTAATGTAATTGTGTTAGGTATCGCCAAATTCCTTTCCATGGATGTTATAATTACTTGTATCTCTATCAGCAATGTATCAAACTACCTGTTTTCTTGGACAATAGGCTGGACAACAAATTATGTTGTCAAACTTTGAGATTTCATCACCCTGATAGGTGAGCTACCAGTTTTCAGCATAGTTTAAAAATAAACGTGGTGGAGAACCCTTTCAGGTATTAAATATTTGCTTTTCCATTAGTGAGACCTCACATCTCACATTTCCTGTTGCAGCACATTTTTGAATGAGAAAAGATACGGTGAGGATATATTTTCTAAGTTTAGTTATGTCTGCAAATGTTAACTGTATCTGGATCATGATTTGAGTGGGTATGTCATATTTATCTGAAATTTATTTGCCCTCTGAGCTTTGACCTTTATAGCTGCTAAAGTGGAGTTGTTGATGAGATTTTTCAGGCCACTCTGATTTTTCTCTTTCTGAAACTTTGGAATCTTCTCTGAAGCACTGGAATTCTGAGTGTTCACAAGGCTAAGTCTTGGTGTGAGATTCATTCATACCCTTGGCCTGGGCAGTTGGTGTATCCTTTCCATCTGAAATGTTCATATATTTTAGCTCTGAGAAATTATACTCTATTATTTATTTATTTGTTCTCCTTTATTTTGTCTTCCCTGTCCACTCGATCTGGTTTTAGTCAGATGTTGGACCTCCTGGACTGATTGCTTATGGGTTTGATCTTTTTTTCCACCTTTTATATTTCTTAGTTATTTTATTCAATTTTTTGTGAATTTCCTTAAACCTGATCTTCCAATTCTTCTACGATGGATGAAACAACATTGCCTCAAATCTCTCTAAAGATACTTAATTTGAGTCTTTGATACTTATGGTCTCTGTGGTATTATTCCAGATCCAGGAGTTCGAATCTTCACTTTTTGATCAGTCTCTGTTGAGTTTGGAGAACTTCTTAGTTAAAAGGGAGATTTAGTGGTGTTTGGTACAGGCATTAAAGACTCGGGGCACCTGGGTGGCTTAGCAGGTTAAGAGCCTGAACTCGGCTCAGTTCATGATCTCACGGTTTGTGAGTTCAAGCCCCACATCGGGCTCTGTGCTGACAGCTCAGAGTCTGGAGCCTGATTCAGATTCTGTGTCTCCCTCTCTCTCTGCCCTTTCCCCGCTTCTGCTCTGTCTCTAAAAAACAAATAAACAAACAAACAAAAAACCCTCATGTTCCCTGAGTCCTTCCTCTGGCTGTGTATTAAAAAAAAATGGAAAGAACCAGGGGAAACAAAGGAAAGAGAGGGGCTGGCTTATGAATTTTATACTGGAAATGCATTCTTCTCTTACATATTGCAATTCTTCAGAATTAGCCCCCTTGAAAGACTATATTTTGAAAACCACAAGGCACTACCAAATATATGGTGTTGTATTTCAACAATTTGGTATAGTGGTGTGACTACTGTACTTGGGGTCCAGAGACTTAGGTTCTAGACTAAAATCTGTGTATTAGTCAAGGCTCTTAATAGTAAGTGACAGAAACCCAATTCTAACTAGCTTAAACACCAGCAGGTCTTAAGGAGAACATGTTGTGAGGGGTGCCCACAAAACTGGAGGGAGATCAGTAGGAACCGGGTTTCTGCTGTTACTCTTGATCTGCACTTCATATCTTGATTCTCTCTGACGGTCACCGTCATGCCAGGACATTCTACATAGCTGGGGACATGGCTGATGAAAGCTCCGGGATCATGATTTAAAGGGAAAGGGTGAGCAGAAGACTCTCCCTCCAAACTTTGGCATCAAAAGTTCTAGGAATGGACTCTGACTGGCTCTAGTTCAGACAGCTGCTCACCTAGAACCAATCTCTGTGGCTGGGAAGGTGGTGGTCTGGGATGGGACGCGCATGGAGTAAGACCCTCAGGATGGGAAGCCCCACCACAGCTGCACTGTAGCGGGGAGGGAGGGGGTGACACAGTTTTCCCAAGAAGAGGGAAGGGTGCTGGACATGTAGCAGCCCAGATGTGGACATGTAACAGTCCAGATGTCCACTTATCTCTGTCACTAATTAGATCCATGACTCCTAAACCACACTGGACCTCAGCCTTTCTATTTGTGGAGTAAGACATGTAGATGTAGACCAAGCATTTCTCTAATTCTCCCCCAACTCAAATACATTATGAATTTACTGAAAATCACATGTTTTTCTCTTATTGTTTTTTAACTTGCATGAGAATTAAATATATCTGTTAAAGACCGGAAAAACGTGATTCCACACATTAAATAGGAGAGGGAAACAGCGCTATTTAAAGAACATCCTGTCTCTGGATTTTGAAGAAGGTGAAGCATATTCCTGTAGTTATTGTTTCGCCCCTGAAGCACAGATAGAAATAGCTAACCAAACTTTTCCCACAGCACATTCTATCCCCCTGAGGAGGGCTCTGATTGTGCCAGAAGGTCCCTGGGGACTGAGTGCCCAGCATGGCATTCTCTTGGTCACCAGCTGGTCAGGGAAGGCAGCTGTGGATGCCATTTGGCTCCCAGTGTCTCTACCAGTAGGAGCTGGACATGGTGGGTGGTCCTCAAATATAAATGCAGTCAGCTCTCTACTTACTAGAGGGACCAGCTGATGGACTCCGGGGACCTGCGATCCCTCCTCATTGTTATTCTTGTGTAAGGGTAAGGAAGTGTAGCAGTTACAATCTAGTTCATGACTGTAATCAGCAGCCATTAATGTCTGATTTCCCTCAATTGCCCGTGCACTTTTAGAAAGGCATACATTCTTCCAGCAAAATTGTCAAGGTCTCATGTGTTTCTTCTCCCTTTTGTTCCTTCTCTCACCTAGTTATATTTTCTTGCTTTGTCTCTCTCTCTTTCTACTCGTGTTTGCCGCAGATATTTATTAGACTAGAAACTGTTAAACACACCATGGTTTTTGAACCAAGCCAGAAATGAGTTGAATCTGGTAGTCTGAGTAACTGGGAAGGCGAGCCAGAAGGATGGAAGGATAGAATCAAAATGAAATCTTGCTCTGAATTTTGCTTCCTACTGTGTTCTTAGAACTTACTTGGTGAGGGGAGCCCTTCCTTTGCCCCTGGATGATGACAAGGGTAGTCTGTGTGTGGGGTTCCCTCCGTTTGCCCCTCCAGATCCACTCGCCAACCAGACTTGTACAGACCACATCGAGAGGCTGTGTGTCCTCTGGATTCTGGTTGAACTTGGGCAATGGAGAACTCCAGCAGGAAAGTGGAGGAAGGGAAGGGAACAAGGTCAGGAATGTAATCTGCCTCTCTTCTCCTGAGGTCAACTCATCTGGCTGCATCCCTTGATGGAAGGCTGCTCCTCCCAATGTGGTCTGCTTTTCACGGCTCTCTTTCCCTTGAGAAAATGGCCTCTCTGCATCCCTGCAGGGCAAGGCTATGAACATGGGTTCCTGGGCCCTTGAGGATCTTCACTACATGCTGTCCATTCCTTTCTCCTTTAACACTTCATAAAGAAACCTTCCCATATTATTGCAATTTGAGTGTACTCTCTTCGGGAGTAAATAATTATGCAGCTACTTCAGTTATACACAGAATCTGTGACAGAATGATAGTCCAAAATATTAATCAACACTGTAGTTTTGCTCAAGGGTAAGAGTTATTATCTTCCTCCCTGAGGTGGGACATGTCGGTGGACACCAGCCTCTAGTATGGCTGGTTCTGCCTTCTTTCTTACCTTACCTGCTCCCTGTTCTTTCCATTCCTAGGCTGAAAAGGGGGACAGAGGGGGCGAAAAAAGTTTTCGTTCCAATCGGTTCCATCATAACTTGGCTTTGCACCCTCTGGCCTGGCATGGTTAGAACCAACGCTCTCCTGGCCCCTCAGAAACCCCCTGCACTCCCACCTGCAGCTGCCCACCCATGACCCAGGAAGGTTTCCTCTCGGGCTCGTCCTCCAGGGGCCCTTTCACACTAGGATGCTCACTGCTGGAGAGTCTTCGTCCCTCCAAGTTATCTTGGGCAGAATTTAAGACTCTAGATGACCTTCCCACCGGCAAAGTTCCTATCTGGTTGACAGCCTCTCTGGCTCATCTTTGTTGTGCCACTGAAACAGCTCAATAGCCTGACTCTCCCACTGGCCGCTGGGTCCCCAAACACCTGTGAGCCCACAGGCCCTGCGAATGGTTTCTCAACATTTCCTCTCTGCCAGATTGAGGCAAGGGGGGCAGATACCCTCACCTCCTCCAGCGGGGAGACGCAGAACTCACAACCCAGCCTGTCTCCAAAGAAATCTTTCTTGTGAAGTCCTCTTGGTCACTATTTTCTCTAGCGCTCAATCTTGACAAAATGTGGGAGGAGGCTTAAGGGCAGGAGGGAATTAATTCTCCAACATCCACTCTGAAGATCCTTCCAGGGGAGAGAGGCAATTGGTCTCACACACATCTTACGATGTCATTTTTGCCTCGTCTTGGAGTCTCAGTCAAAATCTTAATTTCAACATACCGTGTATCTTTTTAATTGCTGGATAAAACAAAAGCAGTTCCAACTGGCTTCTACAATAAAGAGAATTTGTTGGTTCGTATAAGTGAGAGTTCAGAGGTTGGGGCTCAGTTTCTCGTTGGTTCTCTCAGTTCTCCCTTTCTCCATGTTTTCAAGATGACTGCCTGAAGCACTCTGGGTACATGCTTCCTTGTCCATATCCAGGCAACAAGGAGGGCATCCCTTTCCTCAACCACTGAACAAGAGTCTTGAGCTTTACTCTGACTGGTCAAAACTTGACAACTCAGGTTGAGTTGTTAACCTGAGCTAATCCTTATCACCAGGGGAGCCCAATGTGCTTATTGGCTTACGTCTTGGGTGGGGGGCCATAACTGCACAATGACTGTGGAAGAGAGATTGTTTACCTTCATTGGGTTAAACCTCTGGGGATCCATTCCTGAAACTGGGGGTGACAGCAGTGGACATGAAACTTGGACTCGACACCTTACACAAATTTCTTGGACTCAACACCTTACGCAAATCTCCTGGCTGTATAACTAAGAAAAAGGTTTGGAATGAGTGTTCAGGAAGCATCTGCCCCCCTCCCCCCAGTCCAAGGTCGTCTTACTCAAGCGTCTAATTTTGTTCCCACGTAAAATATGGTTTGGTGGGGATCTAAATATTTTATATTTGTAATACAAACATACTTGTGACTGCAGAGGGGTTCGTTCTGCATTGGGACTAGCTTCTCCATTAGGCCTAAGGCCCATGAGATTTTTACCGCCCCATAAAAATGTTTTACTTCTTTTAAAATCAGAAGATAAAAAGGAACTTTTAGGTTAAAGAAAATGTTTTAATATATAATATTTATATATTCATCTTAATAGCAATTCAATTGTAAAATATAATAATTATTATTAATAAATTATTATTATTATTAATAGGGGAATGGGCCTACTAAGGCAAAAGTGCATTGGTGAGAAACTGCTCAGGCAGCCACACTGTGCTTTCCTTACAGGGCTATCCCAAGACAGAATTTATGTTTTGCCCATAGACCCCAAAGCCTGAGACAAGGGGATCATTCCTTTGAATTCCAAGGTTACTACCCATTGGCTTAAGGAACAGATGTGGGTTGTATCACTGTTGTATCAGAGATATTATTGTGCTTGAAAACAGCAGTGCAGGGAGGTCAGGCTTGCTTGCCTCCCAAAAAAAGTAGAAAGAGGGAAGGCAATTTTCCTCCAGCTGGAGGCTAATTAACATGGACATGGTGCACTAGAGTTAAAGCATTTTCAAGCCTATTATATCACTTGATTCTCCTTAACAACACCCATGGGGTACTGACCCTTTGAACCCATGAAGAATCAGACTCAGGGAATGCAAATTGCCTTTCCACAGTTTGCTACATGGTTACTAATTCATGGAGGGTTAGGTCCACCCGCCATTTCTGACCGCTAAGCTTTTGCTGTTTGCTGGTGCCCAGAGGCAACTAAACTGGAAGTAAAAATTTTTGTAAATAGTTTATCAGACCGAGCGAAGTGGGCAGTGTCTTAGGGTATACTGAGAGTCCCAAGAGCAGACCTAGTCACTTCCAGACTTTTCCATGAACACTGCAGCCATTCACACTCGCTTCTCCAGCTTTTTCCTTGCATCGCTAGCTTGAGTGATCCAGAGCCCTTTCCAGGGTCTCATTCCAGCAAAAACAATGCACAAAAGAAACCTGATAAGGTGGCTTCCCAATAACCCCTCTTTCTCCACTTCGAGGAAATGAGGCAGACTAGAGCAGTGGCAATCAGAAGTGGGGTGGCAATATGACGGCACAGTCATCGCCTAGGAGCTCGTTAGAAAGTCAAATTCTTGGGTCCTACGGACCCCCTGAACCAGATCCGTCAAGATAGGGCCTGGAAAGTTGTATTTTAACCAGCTCCCAGGTGACTCTCGGGCACGCTAAAATTTGAAGGGCTGAAGCACGGAGGGTGGGGGAATGAGGCTGTACAAAGCAAGAGTGTGCCCCAACTCCTCTCTCTCTCTTTCTCTCTGGGTGGAGTGTGGGGAGGCGTATTCACTTTAGTGACCACTATGAAAGTCTCAGCGAAGGATTGGTAATTTAGCTTGGGACCTGTAAATTTCTCAAAGACGCCGCCCCTCCTATGCAAGTGGCGCAACACCCTTACCAAAGTAGACCAGCCGCCAGGTCTCTAGCAGCCTCATTTTTCTAAAGCTGGAAAATTAGACTCGGCAGCGAGGAACACGCGGCTTGGCGCGGCCGGACAAGGAGCAGGCGACTAACAGGCTGCCAGCCATTTCTTCTCCCTCAGGCTCCGCCCCTCGGCCACGGCCCCCTTCCGGTCTCCGCCGCCCCGCCCCGCTCCGCCCCGCGCAGGCGCGTGAGCGCTTTTCCCGTGGCGCTCCGCGGCGCGGGCCATTTGGAGGAATGGCGGGCGCTTGGTTGCCCGGTTGTAAATGTTGCTCTTCTAGCTGTACGTGTGGCGGCGACAAGGGCAAGTGGGGCGACTCTTCTCTGTTAGGCCGGCGGCTCTCGGAGGACTCGGACCGTCACCAACTGCTGCAGAAGTGGGCAAGCATGTGGAACTCCTTGAGCGGGGACGCGTCGGTGGCCTGTGCGGAGGGGACGCGGCGCGAGGAGGCTGCGGAGCAGGCCGAGGAGGAGGACAGGCCGCTGGTGTTTCTGTGCTCCGGGTGCCGGCGGCCGCTGGGCGACTCCTTGAGCTGGGTGGCGAGCCAGGAGGACACCAACTGCATCTTGCTTCGCTGTCAGTTGCCGCGCCGGGTGGAAGTGGGGTGGGGTCGGGGAAAGCTGGGGGCCGCCTTTCCAGGCGTGCGGCACCTGGACGGCCCGGGAGGAGGGGAGGGAGGTGTTTGGGGGGGAGGGTGGCTGTCCAGCGTTTTTAAAAGCAGAAAACTCTGGGAAAGTGAGCTGTCCCAGGATCACTCCTGCAGCCTGGGCTCACGACTGACCCGTCCTTTTCTGGCGTCCTCCAGCCCAGAAGAGCAGCGATTGATCCAGCCTCTTGTGAACATTGCTCAGTAAAAAATGACCAACTGAATGAGGATAATACATACATGGGGTAGTTAGGAGGATTAAATGAGTTGATGTGTATCATGAGCTCAAAACGGCTAGGAAGGGCCGCTTGAAGTGATTTCTCTAGCGGAGATAATCTGTCATTGTTGACCGGGGTCTAGATTGTTTCCAGAGTTGCCTCCACTGGAACAGCATGTACTTGGGTTGAGATTTTTGGTACAGTAGGAGAATCTCTTTTCTTTTTTTAGTAGGCAAGAAATAATATGTTTGGTGTTAAATCATTTTGCTTGTAGTTTCTGTTTTTACAGAAGATAAAACTATCTTTTGCCACATGCTTTTTGTTTTGTATAAAACCCCTTCTGTTATTTACTTTTCTATCCCAGCTTTTAAATTTTAAAAACTATCAGCTTTAGACAATTCAGTTTACTCCCTGCCCCCCTTTCACCATTGCTGCCATGAAATATAAAGAAATGAACTCTTGGATTAATTTCCATTTCCTCCTGCCTCAATTTGAGTTAGTTTAATTATTTTTTTCCATTGTCAAGGTTTATAACATTTATATTCTGTTCTGTAGCCATAGCATGGTCATTGAGGCTTAATATAATGTTTGTATGGATTTGTTTCTCAATTCCAGGACACTTATTAATACAAGAAAGCTTCTTAATAGCTTTCTCATTTCTGAGTTGTTTATTTCATTAATCATCATCAGTAGTCCCTCCCCACCCCTACCCCAGTCCCCAAGAAAACTTCAAGTTTGAGTGGTTGAAAATGCCTTTCTGTTCTCTTTTACGTGAATGTCCTCTTGACTGCATGTACAATTCTGGGATCATGCTCTTTGCTTTTTCTAGGCAGGGACCAGCCAGTTCAAAGGCCCTGAGGCTAGTGTGACTGAAGAGCAGAATGAGGAAGAAAGCAATAAAATAAGGGAAGGAAGGGGTCAGAAAATTCAGGGCCTTGGAGGCTGCTCTTCAGAATTGGAATCTATTCTAGTGAGTGAATAGGATAGAATTCTATTCTAGTGAATATTAGAATATTCTAATCTATTTAGCAAAGGAGTGATACGACCCAGATTTTTTTTTGGAGGAAGCACTTAAGGGAAGAGTAAATGTGGAAGTGAGAGGTCAGTAGGAGCTAGTGCAACAATCTAGGCAAGAAGACTCAGTGATGGTTTGGGAGCAGGAGTGCGGTTTGTGAGGTGGAATTGATGGGACTTGTCAGGAGTGGATACAGGGGATGGGGGGCTGAGGAGATGAATCAAGGATGACACCTTATGTTCTGATTTGAGCAGCTTGGTGGATGGAGGTGGGATTTACCCAGTTCGGGTAGACTGTAGGAGGTGAAACCAATTGGTTTGGACATTTAGGTGTGATGTCTCTTCTTCATTTCCCTCCATCCCCCATCCCTTCCTTTAATGTATCCTGGACCTGGATCCTCTGGGAATGTTTCCCGCTTCCGGGGTCAGCGGTGACACCATCCAGGTCATGGTCTAAATAAGAGGTTTTTGTCCAAGTCCCTGAGAGCTCTGCATTTCACCCCTGGGGATGTATGCTTTGGCTTTTAACATCTTTCTTGCTTTTATTTTATTCATTTTTAGACTAAATCTTAAAAATGTTTATTTTGAGAGAGAGTGCATGCGCACGTGCTATTGGGGGAGGGGCAAAGGAGGGAGAGAGTCAGCACTGACAGTGCAGAGCTGATGCAGGATGTGGGGGCCGGGGACTTGATCCCACAAACCTTGAAATCATGACCTGCGGTGAAATCAAGAGTTGGACGCTTAACCGACTGAGCCACCCAGGCCCCCCATTTTTCTTGGTTTTGATCCCAGTTTTACTATACCTTGCAGGTATTCTTGGTAACCTGTGATTGAAGTCCTAGTTGTTCCTGGTTTTACTGGCAATTGAATTTTCCCCTCCAGTTTTACTTGTTAATGTCAGTGGTTTTCACGGAAGAGAAAGAAATAACTCTCATTCTGCCATCTTTTTTTCCAGATGTACAGAGGTACATTTTGTTTTGAACCACCCTTGTGTGTCTGTGTGACTGTGGGCTCTTAATTTTTCTAGTTCTCTGAGTTCTAAAATAAAAATTGAATTAGAAGTTTTCTAAATATTCGTGTGTGTATTATAACAAACCACACTAAGCAAGTATTGCTACTTTGTTCTAGGTGTTTCCTGTAATGTTTCTGTGGATAAGGAACAGATACTGTCCAAACGCAAAAATGAAAATGGCTGGTGAGTAAGGGTATTATCTACTGGAATATGTGTATTCGAGAAAATGTTTTTTTCCAGTTAAAAATCTTTAAAAAGATCATTACCAGTAAGATTAGTTGGGATAAGGGTTTCTTTGTGGTGGTCACTGTAGAATCAGTGATTTTAATACATTAGTTTTTTTTTTAATTTTTAATGTTTATTTATTATTGAGAGACAGAAAGAGACAGAGCATGAGCAGGGGAGGGGCAGAGAGAGGAGGAGACACAGAATCTGAAGCAGGCTCCAGGCTCTGAGCTGTCAGCAGAGAGCCTGATGTGGGGCTTGAACTCATAAACTGTGAGATGATGACCTGAGCTGAAGTCAGACACTTAGCCAAATGAGCCACCCTGGTGCCCCTTTAATATATTAATTCTTGATCAGTGGTGGTCTTTTTAGATATTGTAATGGAAGAGTTTCTAAATTTCTAAAGTCATATTCTGACAGTCTCTTTTGAGTCTTTGGGCTTAGTGCTAAAACAATTTGAAAATAAAATTTAAAAAAATATCTGTATCATAAAATCTTAGCCAAAGGATGCCTTAGACCAATGCTACCTATTTTTTTTTAATGTCATGCCACCCATAGAAAATGCTAGCATCACACTTATACACATGTACTGTGGCCTGTTGAGGTAAACAAATGAGCTGCGTGAGGCCGCAGGTAGCCAGCAAGGGGGCTCCGGCCAGCCCGGGCCCTGTGCTCCTGCTCTGAGGGCTCAAGGAGTCACTCCTTGGCATCCCCGCCACCCACTACTACAAGCGGCCTCTTCAGTGAACTGAATGGGAGGCCCTGCCTATGTCATTGTTGCCCAGAGTGTGCCTTACCGATGTATATGAACGGTAGCGGTACACACACCACCCAACAGAAATTAATAATCATGTATGTTTTTTAATATGTACTTAAAAATACTGGTTTTTCCTTTTAAAGTAATGCTAGAGTGTCCTATTCAAAGTGTATTTCAATGAAAAGATTACTCTTTTTAAGGAGAAATACATTCATAGCTGCACAGGTAATATGTGCAGGTGGCAGAAATGGTGCTGCTGACATGCATGTGACCTCAGTTTGGAAAAGCCAGACTTAGATCGTTTTTCAGTTTGTAGATGAAGAAAGTAAGGTCCAGGGAGATAGGCCACAGGCCTGTGCAGTGCTCAGAGCCAGCATGGTGCTGGTGTCTCCCCTTCCTTCTTGCAAAGTGTTCTTTCTTCTCTCCTTCCTGGTTTTACTATTTTTTTAAAAAAAGTTTATTCATTTATTTTGAGAGAGAGAGGGATGCCTGGGTGGCTCAGTCGGTTAAGCATCTGACTGGCTCAGGTCATCTCATAGTCCGTGAGTTCAAGCCCCACGTTAGGTTCTGTGCTGACAGCTCAGAGCCTGGAGCCTGCTTCAGATTCTGGGTCTCCCTCTCTTTCCAACTCTCCCCCACTCACACTCTATTAAAAAAATAAACATAAAAAAAAATACAGCTTTGATAGAGTGTGTGTGTGCATATACATGTTGGGGAAGGGCAGGGAGAGGGAGAGAATCCCAAGCAGTCTCCTTATGCAGTGCAGAGTCCAACATAGGACTTGAACCCATAAGCCATGAGATCATGACCTGAGCTGAGATCAATAGTCCGAGGCCTAACTGACTGAGCCACCCAGGTGACCCCAATTTTACTTACTTTGATGCCACTTTCACCATTTTTGCCCTGTCTCTATACCAGCTATCATGTACTTACTATCTTTAATTACATTGACTCAGAATTTTTATTTAGACTTATTTAAAAAGGAATCTAACATATTATTGCCATATATGTATCATTTGCCATTAATTAGACGTTTACTACAATGCGAATGAATGTTACTAAACTCTAGCAGGGATGCTGTCGTCTTACTGGTTCTGAACCCAAAGTCTCTATTCTCTCACTCTAGAAAGATTTGCTCCTATGAGATTCGTGTTCAAGACTTCTAGCCCCACACTGAGACTTTCTTCTTCTTATAATCGGGATGGATAGAGAACTAAAGGGGAATTGACTCTTACTCTGTGAGCCTTGTGTCATCTGGACCAGTCATTCATGCCGCATTACACTGTCTTGAATTTCACCAGGGTCCCATATTCCACACTTGGGGAAATACCGTATTGGTTTAGAGTGTTCGTATGGTTTTGATAGGCCTGTCCTACTGAAGAGCTGCTCGAGTCGTTCCGCAGCTGGTCATCGAGAGCGCTTGTGGGTTTTAGAAACACGTCGTTAACATAGGAGTGCTGTTTCCTATGTCCGCGCTGTCACTTGCTAAGGCTCTTACATGCTAACTCCTTCCTTGTCGAAAATCACCCTGTGATTTCTGGTAGTGGTTTCTCAATGTTGTTATTCAAAGTTAAGGGTAAGCTCTGGCCAAGTCCTTGCCGGCTGTGAGAGCAGAAGGACGTTGTAGTGATTGTAGCTACTGTCTCTTCATTGCTTCTCAGGATCACTCGGGAAGGGAGTGTCAGGATCACCTGGGAAGGGAGTGGGTTTGCGTGTGTTCTTCAGTGGTGATTACTTTGATTTTGATAATTTGGGATAAAACACTGTAATCCATTGATCAGTGTGTTTTGTATTTTAAGTTTATTTAAGTATCCTTTCCTGGCTGATTACACCTGCATCATATGGTAATTCACAGTCTTGGTAATTGTGTGTGGCAGCTTCATAAAGATGATGAGGTTTGGTATGTAGTACGGACATTTTCCTGTTCCCTGTTGGTAGCATAGATAGGGTCCTTCCTGGGCTTTATGGAGAAATATCAGATATAAAATGAATAGAAATATAAAATATTAAAATATCAAAAATATATAAAATATATTAAAATATAAAGTAAAAAAATATAAATATATAGAAGCTTTATATATGATCAATGGCATATCACCTAGCTAATTATAATACCAGTGAGAACTTATAATTTATTGGGCAGTGATCCATTTTGTTCTTTCTTCCATATGGAGCTCCAGTAGTTAAAAAAGTCTCTCAGTGTCTATAGGTAAACAATAATGCAGTCTAATAGATTGTTTGAGTCTTGTTGGCTCCATTTTTTTGATGACAGGAATAGCTAGTTATTATGAGAGGCTTAATACCAATAGGAATGACATAATTCTTTTGAAATAATAGCTGTCTTTTGTGATGTATATTATATAATGATCATCACTAGATTTAAGTCTTCAGTTATCAATTTGCTATGCGTTGGGGCTGTAATTTTAGTATAGATACCTATAGCATGGCAAATTTGGGTAGGTCAGTTTGACAAGGCATTTGGGTGACTGGATTCTAAGTTTTTAAAAATGTATTTATTAATTTTGAGGGAGAGCGAGCAAGCAGGGGCAGGGTAGAGAGAAGGAGAATCTCAAACAAGCCCTGCATTGTCAGCATGGAGCCTGACATGGGGCTTGAATCCATGAACCATGCCATGACCTGAGCCGAAATCAAGAGCCAGATGCTTAATCGACTAAGCCACCCAAGCACCCCTAGATTCTAAGACAAAAAAAACATGAATTACGTTGGTGGGGGAAATTATATTCAAATATGTAGAGCCAGAGTTGAGAAATAACTAGAATGAAGGAAAAATTATGTGGAGAACTTGGATCATTAAGTAAAATATTTGTGGAACTTATCTGTAGTGGGTAGAAGAGAACTAGTTAGGTCAAAGTCTGATTAATAAAGAGAAAGCGACTCTGACAGATACGTGATGAGCACGTGTCTAAGATTTATTTCACTCATTACTGAGGGAATCGGAACATGGCAATGCTGGTTTAGAGAACTCTCTGTAGAACAAATCTAGCTCATGTCCTCCAGGACAATAAGGTCTCAGCTTTTGAGGTTATCTTTTCTACTAGCAGAGGACATTTGCGTCTCTACCGGACTGAAATCATTTGTGATGTTACAAATCGTTAATCTTATTAATCTTCTTTCTCTAAGTCATCATCTAACTGTAGAGAGTCTGGGCCCTAATGAGTAGTAAGCAACCAGTGTTACCTTTCAAGTAGAGCAAAGTGTGGCCCGGGGGTCAAGCAGGCTCTTATCTTTGTAAATATATTCTTATTGGACTGTAGACAGTGCCTCTCTAGTTATGTATTGTCTCTGGCTGCTTCTGTGCTGCCACAGTGGGGACAAGTCACTGCAGCAGACACCATATGGCCTCCAAACCTGAAATATTTGTTCCCTGCATCATTACAGAAAAATATGTCTGCCCCCGCCCCAGAGCGTAAATGATACTCGGTGGGCTTGGTGGGCAATATGACATTGAAAGGGCCTGTGGAATCCTTGCCTTATTTTCAAGTTTTAGATAGTTTTTCTTAATACCAGATTGAGGCATTTCCGTTCTAGAAAAACACCACATCATACCCTGTCGTCACTTTTCTCTGTGCCCCATGTCACTAGGTGCTTAAGTCACTGCAGCCTGGAGGCGACTGTCCACATTTCTAACATATTTTACTATCATTTCCTTCCTTCTTTATACATATGACTTATAGGGTTGGAATAACATATTTTAGCCACGTAGATGGGAAGTGTTTCTGGATTTTAACGGTGGGGTCTCTGTTACCACGGGTTGTGCTGTTGCTGAAGGCCCGGCCTTTCGCTGTTGCAGCGTTCTGGAGGCCCTGCGCTGCTCCGGGTGCTCGCTCAGCCTCGGCCACGTCTACAGGTGCACGCCCAGGAGCCTCGACTACAAGAGAGACTTGTTTTGCCTCAGGGTTGAAGCCATTGAAAGGTAAGCTTGATAAATAAATGGTTGTCTCATAAATGATTCCTCAGGGTTTTCTCTAGAAAAATTGGTCTTGGTATAAAAACATCAGAACGAAATCAACACTGTTTGGTTAAAATATATTTTCAAGTAATAATTTCTGACAAAAAGCCAATGATGTTTTTGTTTTGTCCTGATATATTTTGTATGAGAAAATCAGACATTCTCAATTATAATGAGAAAGCACTGCAGGAACATTTTTCAGAGTAAAAGTTTGTCCAGTTTTTCCTTAAAAAGTTTTTAAGCGATATGTGTTTTCCATTTTATTTTTCCTGTTTTTTTAGAGTATCATGAAGAATTCCTAGATATTCCTAGAATATCATGAAGAATTAGGAATTTCAAAACTGGTTAGGAAAGAAGTCCCTTTGGTGTTCTGGAAAAACAGAAATACAAAGTTCAACTATTCTCTTTATTTTTCTTCTTTTTTTAAAAAAATAATTGTTTTAATATCTTTATTTTAAGAGAGAGAGAGACAGCAGCAAGCGAGGGAGGGGCAGAGAGAGAGGGAGACACAGAATCCAAAGCAGGCTCCAGGCTCTGAGCTGTCAGCACAGAGCCCGATGAAGGGCTTAAACCCATGGACTGAGATCATGACCTGAGCCAAAGTCAAATGCTTAACTGACTGAGCCCCCGAGGCACCCCAGTGCCACTCTTTTCTTGAGTCTAGTGCAGAATTGCCTGCTTTTTCTGAGGGATGCAAGGAAGTGCCTTCTTTCTTCAAAATTTCTAAAAAGTAAACATTTGGAAACAAGGCAAATTGGAGGCTGATGACAGGTGTCAGTTAAAGAATTACAGAGATCTTAATGGCCTTCTAATTAGCCTTTTTAAAATGTTTGTTTATTTTTGATAGAGTGTGAGCAGGGGAGGGGCGAGAGAGAGGGAGACACAGAATCTGAAGCAGGCTCCAGGCTCTGAGCTGTCAGCACAGAGCCTGACACGGGGCTTGAACTCACGAACCACAAGATCATGACCTGAGCTGAAGTCAGACACTTAACCAACTGAGCTACCAGGTGTCCCATAGTTGGCCTTTTTAAATAGAGAACACAAAATTAAATAACTCTAACTCCAGGGTATTTTCACTTATCCTGGAAAAGATGTAATCCTCAAGACTTTAAAGATGCCTAAATATCTTATATATCAGGAGAGAAGAAATATGTCAGAAGGAATGAAAGTGCTTATGCTTTCACTACTTGAGGTATTTTGTCACTTTTGTTGAATTCCTCAGCTTTTCTCTTCAAAAGATTTGTAACAGTATTGTTTTTATTATAATTGTGATTTCTCATCAAATAATTCTTTGATAACTACAGTCTGCCACCTTGCTTGAAACTTGACACATTTAGATCAAAATTTTGAACTCCGCAGACTCCTTACAGCCCTTACGCAAAGAATGATGAACAAGTGCTGTTCACTGTTGTAAGCAGGGAGGCCTGTCTGGAGAGGTAGCAGACCTGTTTTGGTTTTAAGATATGAATAGAAGACTCAGGCCAAACAGATGCTCCTTTAATCTCCATGAGCATTTTACTAAGATGTGTGAAAATTAAGTGAGGGAGAGGACAAGTGAGAAAGGACACGAAACCTCAGCTTGGCCGGCTTGGTACAAAACTTTCAAAAGTGGCACGTATCTGTGTAAAAGGAGATGTGGAAGACTCTGCCACAGGGGATTAGAGTATTAGAGTTGCATTTTCCGGAACAGTTGAATTTAGGGTAACAGTTACCTCTTGGGGTGGAATTTTAATGCCAAGGAAACTGCTTGGTTTTAGAAGTGGTTATTTACAGTTTTGGTTTTTTAAGATTTTATTTTTAACTAATCTATATACCCAACGCGGGACTTGAACTCATGATCCTGAGATCAAGAGTCACACGCTCCACCCACTGAGGCTGCCAGGCGCCCCTGTTTACAGTTTTGGAAATTACTTAATGCCACTTCATTTCCCACTTCATCTCATTTTTCTTTCCTAAACGGGATGTCAATTGTCTACTACAATTTTGTCTCCCATGCCTTTTTCAGAAATATAACCAATAAGGTTTCCATGAGAAGGTCATTCTTTTTTTTTTTTTTTTTTACAAATAGTTTATTGTCAAATTAGTTTCCACATAACACTCAGTGCTCATCCCCACAAGTGCCCTCCTCCATGCCCATCCCCCCTCCCCCCTACATCCATCAGTCCTCAGTTTTTGTCAGCATTCAAGAGTCTCTCATGGTTTGCCTCTCTCCCTTTCCCCCACCATTTCCGCCCTTCTTCTCCCCCTTGTTCCTCCGTCAAGTTCCTCCTAATCCTCCTATACGTGCAAACATATGATATTTGTCGAGAAGGTCATTCTTATTTGACAAAAGAAGTGACACACCAGAGTTTCTACATGTGATAAAAGACTTCGAAAGAAATGCAGCTTTATCACATTTTCTTGGGAGAAATCCTAGCACCTTCTTGTTTGCTGTTTAGATCTCTTGGGCTACCAGCCCTGGGCCTGTTTTCCTCCTTCCCAGGCCAGTTTTTCTACCACATATTTTCTCCACCGCAGCATCTCCCAGCCCCGAGAGAGCTGGGTGCAACAGAAGTCAGACAATTACTGCTGAAGTCACCACATTGGGGTGACCAGAATTGACTCCATAGGTTATTTACTATAAGTCCAGTTTGAAAGTATACATGTTCCCCAAAAGTTATAGAAAGCAAAAAAACTGGCTTCCTCAGGATCTTTTCACATGTTTTAATCATAGAATTTTGAACTGTGATTGTTAATGTTTTGGCACCCAGCTAACAAAAGAGCAAGCTTGTTCCAGTAATGAAGTACTTAGACTATTGGAAAATATGTAGGAATACCTAGACAAAGCTGTTACGGAGAAAAATAGGATTTTCTGTAGTACAACTTCCTACAAATACACAGTGTAATATACTTAGAGTTTTAATATTATTAAGTAATATGAATTTAATATTTGCCTCCTTTTCACATTTTAACCTTGTACTTGCACTGTACTTCAGTTATATTTTAGGGTCCTCGGAAAAGCAAATTGTGTCAGAAGATAAAGAACTTTTTAATCTTGAAAGCAGAGTTGAAATAGAAAAGTCTCTAAAGCAGGTAATTTTGTTCTGTACTCTGTATATCTTTATATGAATAGCTTCCCATGTTCATACAAACAAGGGCTCCTTAGTGAACAAGGGCTCCTCCACAAATACTCCTCACAATGGCATCTGTTTTGATCCTAATACTTTCACGGTAAGAGAGTGATTATTTTATTTTGGTTATTAGTAAAATTGAGTTTTTGGGGGTAGCCAAACTACAATTTAAGCTAAAGCTTTATCCAAAAAAAATAGTAAGTCATTTCATGCCTCAGTCAAACCAGTGTATAATCTAAAACTAGTAAACTGTATTTCATTTGATTCAATTCTCATCGTGTAAACAACCTGGTTTTTAAAAGCTATTTATTTATTATTTGAGAGAGAGAGAAAAAGTGCGAGAGTGAGCATGAGTGGGAAGGGAGGCAGAGAGAGAGAGAATCCCAATAGGGCTTGATCCCACGAACTGTGAGATCATGACTTGAGCTGAAAATCAAGAGTCAGACCTCAACCAACTGAGCCACGCAGGCACCCTAACAACCCAATTTTTGAACGTTAATATCTCCTGGCCAGATAGGCAAGATTCTGATGTGTGAATAAAAGAACTCCAGGTCAGAGACTGAGAATTGCTGTTAATATAATGATGCCTTATTTATATAAAATTTAGTTTATGGCTCTAAATAGCTTCATTAAATCCTGAATATATGTGATGCAAAACATACTCATACATTTTATTAATGATTCAAATTTTAATAATTTAATCGTGTGATTTTTTAACCATGATCGTATGTGTATTTTAAAATATTTATTCAATTCAATAGATGGAAGATGTTTTGAAAGCATTACAAGCAAAGCTGTGGGAGGTTGAATCAAAGTTGTCCTTCACCAGCTGCAAAAGCTGACCCGCCCTCCACGTGCCCGTTCCGCACTCCCTGCGGGTGGACGCTTCCGTATGTAGCCATGCTAGTCATCTGGTTTTGCTCAGAATGGAAAGATTTCGCAGTGGCCATGTCCTCTTGTATCGATCAGATGAGAAGGATTGTAGCATCACTTTTAGGATATATTCAGTGGTAAACAAATGGTTGTTTCCCAAAGTCGAGATTTAAAGCCGTTTTATGATACTTGTTGAAATTAGGATTTTGGAGTTTTTATTTTGATAAGAAACTGCTATGCTTTCTCTGAACTGTTTTCTCCTTTGTATCAGTTTCATTTTTCATCTCCTTTTTAAATGAATAAAAAAAATTATTCACCTTGGATACTTTGAGAGAGGTTTAATATTGAATGGCAAGAAAATCTTAGAGGTTTTTCCCACCCGCTGTGTGAGTGAGTCTTTGAAAATGAATGCATAAAGCTCTCTGAAGAAACTGGTCAGGTGAATTATTTCTCAGAACTGTTGGAACACTTGCAGGCGAGCAGAAGAGCGTATGTTTGAGGGGTAGTAGATTCCACTTGATCCGTCTGTTTACTGCCGTCCACCAGAACAGGTCTGGAATAATGGCCACCAAAGGGACCAGTAGTCATCTCTGAGGGTGGGATTCTGGGGGGTCCTCTGTTTCCTATAATTTGGGGCTTATATGTGCTATTTTTAAAATCAGAGAATAAAGATTAAAACAAAGGATTTTACGATTGATTTTTACAAAACTGAATAGTGGTATTTAACTGAACTCAGAAATCCTGACGCGGTGACTTATACACGTTTACCGGTTGTAGCCCTGTGTAAGGCTGCTCGGGACTGTGAGGGTGACCCCAGATTTCTCCAGGCCCCTTTCTGTTTTTGGGTGCAGACGAGCCACATTACATTGGTACTCAGAATGCAGGAGTGACTCTGCTCGGTTTCTGCTCCAAAGTTCCCTAATCCTTTCAGAGAATACTCAAAGGTGTCCTAACAAAAGGTCCTAAGTCAGATCACCGGAATCATTTCAAGTTACTGAGTGATTTTGGATAGCTTGGCCATAGCCTCAAATGACCAGACATCAGTGAGGCCCCGAGGGTGGAATGTGGTGGAGAGAAAGCACCCCGTGCACCCGCCGGGCCAAGCCAGTCCTCTCTCCTGAGCGAGCCCATTGCAGTCCCGGGCATCTGTCCCCTCAGGTGCTTCAGAGGCACATTCGGAGCAGGGGAGAAGATCTTAACAGCAGGATTCAGCCACACTCTGGTTGCGCCGCTGACAGTACTCCCATAGTCATTTTCGGGGCTGTGCCCCAGGCCGGTGTTCGGCCCCCTGATTCCTCAGTCCTGCTCCTACGGGGCGGGCTGAGCCAAGCATCCTGAAAAGCACTAATTTGACCGAAGAAAACTCATTTCCAGTCTCCACAGCGCAGCTCCTGTTGGGGATCCCGAGAGGGGCCTGGCTCAAGTGCCTTGGGCCGCCTCTCGTGTTTGCCTTTGACTGGCCATCCCCGGAGCTGCATCTCCAGTTCGGTCCTCCAGGTGAGTTAGCCGTGGTCCTGGGCTCCTGGCGGAGCGCTCACACATTCTGTCACACGGTCCTCACTGAAGTACCTGACCGGAAACCCCAGGAGACAGTCGTGGTTCATAAGGGGAAGTCTTCACTTGGCCTCTGTCTGTGATGTCACTGAAGGGCTGTTCTGGCCATTGCCGTGGGAGACGGTCCCAGACTGCTCACCCCAAGGGGTCCGGGTAGGACAACTTTGTGTCCCCTGCGTGCGGCACTGTGACACTTGCAGAAGGAGGGGTTCCCCCCGACTCTGGGACAGCGGCTCCTTGGGCCACAAGGCTTCCCGCAGCCCAGTAAGCCTGGCTTACCCAGCTTTGCGTGCAATCTCCTCAGAACGCTACTTTGTAAACTCACCCTGTATTTCCTCGTCCTGAAACCCACTCAACACGAGGCAATGGGGTCTTGTTTCTGTTCCTTGTAACTGAAAGACCCATTGTGCCTTATTTCTGGTTACCAAGCTCTGCTGAGTCGCCGCCTGTGAGCGGGAATGAGGTGCCGAAGCAAGAATGGACGTCCCAGCCAAATTGCAGGAGGCCCGCAAGGAGCCTTCAGGCAGATGCGCCCAGAAACTGTTCCTTCAGCCAGGCCCATAGAGGGTGCTCCCCGCTTCTTCAGGATGGAAACTGACGCTGGAACCAATTACGTGGTCTTTACACCCTCTTATAACTGTGTCTGTGTAGAACGTTATATAGAGTTTCATCTCAGAATCTGGGCTCTGTCGCTCTCAGCAGATTTTCCATCATGTTTATAAATTTCCGAGCTCAGGAGCCCACTGAGGTCATTGTTCTGTGCAGCACTGATTCCTGGATGGATGCTTGTAGTCAGGCTCTGGACATTTAAATTGGGCAAAATTGGGAGAAGGCATCCTTGAAGAATGGGCTCTAGGCATTTAGCGGGAGCTTCTTGAACAAAGAAGCCATGAATGAAGCTTCCTTCAGCTTATTTCTGAGGGAAAATCTCACGGGTAGCAGAAATCCCAGGTCAGCGTCCCAGTTTCACTGCTTTATTAGCCATGTGACCCTGAGCAAACTATTTAATCATTTTGAGCCTCTGTTTTCTCCTGTACAAAATGAGGACATAATAGCCTTTCCTTGAATCACAGATCATCAAATTGGATAATGCTTAAGAGCGAGTTACTCTGAAAACAGTAAAGCATCACAAAAATAAATGACAATGATTTAGCCTTGTTAAAAATGGGTTGATCTGATTCACTAGCTGGTATACTCATGGGAGTCTATGGATGGAAAGGGAAACATCGAAACATTGTAATCAAAATATAAATATTACCGTTTATTGAATTTCTTTCTCCAGTTACAAATAGATGAACATTATAGAAGATTTGAAAAATAGAAGCATGACACAAAGAAGAAAATAAAACATCATCTCACAACTAAAAGACCATTATTCACTTTTTGGGGAATATCTTTGCAGTCGTTTTTGTATGGTGACTTGGAATCATACCGAACATACGGTCTTCACTTAAACAACTTCATAGCTATGTTTCTGCAATTATTAAATGTCTTCGGTTATAGATTAATTATAGTCATTCCTGGTGACTAATGTATTTTTAATGAAACACCAATGTTAAAATCTGTTTCAGTATAAATACACGCTATGAGATTCATGCCTTTTGGTGGCTTTACCACTGAGTTTACTTGGCAAATAAGAGATAAGGCATGAAAGAAATCTTAAACCAGTTACCTCTATCTAGTCTTAGGGTGTGCAGGAGCCGCGAGCCTTTGTTAAACTGTCAGGAGTTTCGTGAGCTGGTCGTTAAACTGTTGGGAGCTTCAGACTGGCCGTGGCTAGGAGTATTTACAGCGGAGAAATCAGCAAGGGCAGCCTGGGAGTCAGCCCCCGCCCTCCATTCGCACCAGCCGGTTTCCCAGGACATTCCTATGCGTTTTGAATCTCTATACCGTTTAACTTCAAGTTTAAGAGAAAGAAAAGGATTTCTCTCTTCATCACCCAGACAACTCCATCCTCACTTCTTTTCATTTAATAGATGGAAACACACGGCCACATTCTTCACCTCTTCTGGAAAAAAAGCGAAAATACCTGAAAGCGAATGGCTTAAAATTTTGTATCCATAGTCAGGGCTGTAGATCTTTTCTGTTCTTCCTGTTTTAGATAAATAAATGGGGAGCTTCGTGCCTGTGAGGAAGCAGAGAAAGCTCGCTTGCAGTTACTTTGAACCAAGGGAAGATCATTTATTCTTTGATCTAACCCAGACTCATTTTGGGGACTGATCATTAATTTCATTTCATAAGAGCTGAGTTTCATCCGTCTGGAGGGGGTTTTATCCAGGCAGGTAGGTGATCACGGCGGCCTGCCGTCAGGGTCAGTCTGTGTAATTGTAGTCTCTTCAGAATGTTTACACTTGTCTAAATTCTTGTGATAATAACTGGAAGGCAGCGTGAAGTGAGCGGGTGAGAGGAGTGATAGGCTGGAGAGGAGTTTTATTGGCCCAGATGTGGCGTGAAATAGAACTAGCCTCCTTTTGTTCAAGTCCACCCCTATTGACTTCTGCTAACCTGACAGCATTAAGCCTAACTGCCCCACCCCCCACACAATTGCTGCCATGTTTTTTGATATCCTCCATCTAACTTTCAGGCAGAGAGATGGACAAGGTTCCCCCCAAGGGCCCTTTCAACCTTCTAACCCATTTGAGCTGAGAAAGGAAATGAGAATTCAAAGGAGAGAGATGAGAATCCATGAACTGACTTTGCAGACTTGAATTCTTTTCCCCACGCGTGCCGTCACCTTCATGTGCCTCCCCCCGACCACCGTACATTATCCAGAGCTGTGGGCTTAGAATCCTGGAGACTTCCTGAGAATAACAAATTATGAATAAGCAGGGTGTGTGTTTGATTGAATAACATTTTCCAAACTGAATATAAGAGTAGGTAACTTTTTGAAGAGGAAGGTTCTGAAGCCTTCAAAGATTTTCCCTGAAGGGGACAGACAGACAAGCTGCCTTTTTACTCCTAGCTGCTTCCGAGGGATGACTTCTGCTCCTAGGTAGCACTTAATGATCATGTCCTACGTACCCAGCACTGTGTTTGGAGCTGAGGGCCCCCCCAGTCTTCACAAAACCCTCTTTCATAGGAATCCTTCCTCCTGTTTTATAGATGGAGAAACTGAGATTCAGAGAAGTTAAATAATGGCCTGAATTCCCAGGCTCTGCTGCATGTAGTCGCCTCTGTCTATTCTGAGCTGCAGTGGGGACACTCCCTTGGTTCTTAGCAATCAGATTTGTTAAGCGAAGGTAAGTCACTGCTGTGTTGGCAGCTTTGGTATCTAGAAGGGTTTGGGGACGCCTGGGTGGCTCAGTCGGTTAAGCATCCGACTTCGGCTCAGGTCATGATCTCACTGTTTGTGAGTTCGAGCCCCACATCTGGCTCTGTGCTGACAGCTCAGAGCCTGGAGCCTGCTTTGGATTCTGTGTCTCCCTCTCTCTCTGCCCCTCCCCCACTCCTGCTCTGTCTCTCAAAAATTAATAAACATTAAAAAAATTTTTTTAAAGAATTTAGAAGTCCTGGGCTTCATCTCCCTTTTCTATAAAATGAAGCTGATCGGGCCTCTTTGACGTGAGTTCCCTCCACTTCCTTTGTTTCTGCCTTGAGGTTCCCTGGCCCAGCGGCTGCAAGCCCTCTCCTCTTCCCGTGTTCCGGATCTCCCCTGTCCTTTATTATCTCCCCTCTCCTTTCTGTCCTTTCTTTTACTTTATTGCATGTACCACCTCGGAGGTCACGTTTTATACTTGTTTGTTAGTTTATTGTCTTTCTGTTGGAGGGAGATCGCCACAAGGGCAGGCGGGGAGTTTCTGGCCTCAGCTTGTGGCTGGAAGGGGTGCGGCTCCACAGTACGTGCTCATTTAATCTCCGGTGTGATGAATACTGCCCGCGTCACGCACCTGCTTTCTCACCTCTCCGGACAGCCCACCCTGCGGGCTCCTGCCCTGCAGCCACCCCCAGGCATCCTCTTGGTGGCGAGCATCCTTCTTGCGACCCAGCTGCGTCTCTGCACGGCTCTCCTACCTCTAGCCAGACCCGCTCACAACAAGCTGTTGCCTTTTGATCATCCATACACTCTGGACATTCTACCGAAACCGCTCTCTTGAAAGCTCCTGATGAGTGTTCCTGCACAGT